TTACTCCTTTTTTGACATATCTAGCAGTGGGAGAAGCTCAGCTGCCCTTCATAAAATGAAACTATTTTTTTCCTGGAAATCAAGTAAAAATACATAATAATTCTATGTCGAGTTGTAGAAAAGCAAGTCAACAAAAAACAAAAGACTTGATGGCATTTTGAATACTAATAACTGTATTGCAGTTTTTAGCCTGCTTTGTTGCATCCCTGATCTCAGTTTATTTCAATGGTTCCATTGCTTTCTGTGGAGTCTCTTGACAAGAAACTCTGCAAAAGAGACCTTGCATAGACTTTTCACCAAAAACTAGACTGCCATTCAAAATAGTAACATTAACATTTTTAACATAGAGTTTAAAATCTATAAAAATTGCCAGTCACTAGCCATGAGACTAGGCACTGAAAGGCAGTGACAAATTGTTTCTTGCAAAAGAATCAGCTGGAATATTTACTACACATTTTGCTCAATGCTAACAACTTGCTTTTTAAAAAATGAAAGCTTAGAAGACAGACCAACTTGTGATCTAAATAGTCATCAGATGGGATGTTTAAAATCCAGGAAAACCAGGCCAATCAAGTCTTAGGGCAACCCTATATTTTAGGAATAATGTTAACAATATTTGGTTTTGAATCTTTCTTGTTTTCCCTCCTATTCCCTCTTCTTTCTCTGGGTGGTATATTTTTAATATTGTAAAGCCTGGGGATAGGGATTGTCTTGCTTTTTATTAATCTGTAAATTACTGAAGGAGCCTTTCTATTTGAAGAGCATGGTATAAATGTGAATGATGTGGCACACATATGACCAAACAGCAGTTTGCTTAAACCACAGGTGTGATGTGACCATTTCAACATTCCTGCAGACGTGTTTAGAGGTTATTGGGCAACATCCTCATGATAGCTGGATTAATCATTGCCTGGAAGTTCTCCCTGTCACAAATTGCTTTGCTCCTGATTAGCCCAGTCTCTCCCCATCAGTCCTTGAAGGTGAAATATACCTCCCAGCAATAGTTGAAATGGGTAATTAGTGTGGTCCCTGCCACCAAGCAGATGGACTCCCATGGTTTATACAGAACAGAAGCAAACAAAAGAAATTGATGTGCAGAGACAGGGGACCTGTTATCCAACCAGGGGAATAAGGAGAGTTGGCTTTGGAATAGTCTGGGTAGCTTTAGTTGCTTAGAAACCCAGTTTTGCCACTTGCTGTGAGAGGATGCTGGTGCATCACTTACCACCAATAAATCTTATCTTATTGTAGTTTGTCTTAACAAATCTTATCTTATTGTAGTTCATCTGTTTTTGATACAGGTTGTAGGTTGGAAATGTAGCCATTTCCAGCTCAGAATACATGGGCATAGTTTGTTGTGGTGTGGGCAAAGAGCTGACATTCCACATGCATGCAGTTAGACCAACCATTTATTTCATTATCTATCTATAAAGTTCATTTTAGTTCAATAGAAATGAAACGGGGGGGGGGGGACTTAGCCCAATTTGAAAACAAAAACTATTCTGCTTTCAGCTATACCTTGGTGGTAGTAATGTGTTACAGTGGTATGGAGCACCCATAAACTTTGAAAGACCCTTCAAAATAAATCTATTGCCCAGCAGCCCCTCAGTCAAAACTAAAATAAAAAGGAGCCATTTTGCATAATCAAAAAGATTATTTACAACTGAGTGCTGCAAGAGAAGATACTATAAGCTTAATGCAACAGCTTCCCAGTATATTAAAAATATTTAGAGTAGTTGAATATGAGAAAGCAAGTAGTTTGAGGGGTTTTCTTCAATAAAGATGTATGGGGGGGGGCTGCACAATGACTCCTGCATCCCTTCCTAATTTATCTTTCTCTACCTCTCAAACTATGGCATACTAATAATTAAAAAAGCATTCTTGTAAATGATGTCAGTTGATTGCAGTGATATTTCCAAATAAATAGTCTGAGGTTTTCTTTCCTTCTACCCTTAACCCTTTTTGCAGTAAAGCAGCATGCTGGGCGAGAGTTCAGTTGAAACCAACAGAATTTACTTCCAAGAAATTGTGTTTAGGGAACGGCATGTTCAAGTATGCAAGAGATTAAAGAACAACCTTACAATAATTTATTGTGTCCTGCGACTCCATTATTATCTTGTACACTCTCAGTGTTTTCTGGTTTTTCTTCCTCTGTCTGGGAAAGTAAACACTGTTAAAACTATCTTTTCATGTCTAGGTCACTCTGAACTTACAGGTCACACAGCACTGTGCCTCTCTTTTCTTCATCAGATAGGGGTGCAGGCAGGGATGTAGCTACAGGGGAGCAAAATGAATAAAACAAAATAGGGCTAGACATGGTCCCAGGACCCAAGGTGCCCCACGCTGTCATACAACATATATACAGCATGCACAGAACCCAGCACAACAAAATCCCAGAAAGTCTCCACCAGCCCCACTATGTATATTCTTTCAGAGCTGAAAACTGTCGTCCATTTTAAAGGGAGAAAGCTACAGTTATTATTGTGTTTAGTACTTTGATAGTAATTGAATTTTGTGCAGAATGTTTCCATTGTAGACATGTGTACCAAAGTATTTTGCACAGGTTTTGATTTTCACCGTTCAGAAATACTCTAAGACTTTTGTATTTGTGTTGGTTTTGAATGGTTAGGATGGTGGAAGGAGGGAAGGAGGGGTTCCATATATGTCAAATTTGTATTGTTTAAAAGATAATTTGATGTCATTTTGTTTTCTCAAGGGTCTCCTGTCCCATTCCTGACATTGGTAGCATCGAGATCAGCAGGCAGGTTTGGTCCTAAACTTCAACACTGACTGAATAAAACTGAATGGCTGCCATACATGCCATAGGTAAAAAGGTAAAGGTAATCCCTTGACATGATTGTCTAGTTGTGTCCAACTGTAGGAGGCAGTGCTTATCTCCATTATTAAGCTGAAGAGCCAGTGTTGTCTGAGGACTACTCCAGTGGCCATGTAGCCAGCATGATTGCACCAAACGCTATTACCTTATACATGCCATAAGTGGAGAAGAATAAATAGTTTCCCTTGCAGACACCATTGTAGTCAGGACAAAATCACTTTCACAAATCTTCTGCACATTGGCCAGGATGGTTTAGGTTTGTCTGGATTTGCATTATGGGCTTCTGTTTTAAAAGTGCCCAAATTCTTATTCTAAGTAATCAGAAAAACAAACACTCTTGTTCTTGTTTGTCTCACCTAGGCAGTAAAAAAACAAAAAAACAAAAAACCCACCTGCCATCCTTGATTTTTCCAGTTTAAATAAGAACCAGTGTTCTTTCCCAGTTGATGAATATGAAGTAGAAGTCTTATCTTTCCTTACAAAATATACGAGGCATTAATTATTAGCAGTGTATAGATTTTTTACAAGGTTTGCATTTGAAAGATACATTGTGACACATCACATGTCTATTGGCTCCTATTACCAAAGCTGGGTAGACAGCCTTTGCCCAATAATGTTAGGTTTAAGTTTGCTTTTGTTTTTAAAAGGCAGACCTGGAAATCTTTCTGTTAATTCTACTGAATGCACATACAGAGAACTCATGAGTAACTTGTCAAATCTGCATTCAACACTGGCTGAAGCCATGTTGGAACTCTTGAAATGGCCTGGGAAAGGGCTTTTAGAAAGGAAATGGCTGAAGCATATATTTGTGGCTTGTCTGTATACTTTCATGGAATAAATAAGGTTGCTTTTTAGCTAGATTTACCAAGATCACTGATGACCAGCCTACCAAATTATTAATGCAAAAGAAGTCTTGCCACTTCATAAGGCCCACAATCTTTACCACACATAACATGCACAATCGGGGTGTGGGATGAGGAGGAATGCATTATACTTTGATTAATACAGATGAATGAGCAAGCTTGTGACAGTAAATCTTGCCACTTGATTATCTGGTTATCTATACTAGACTAGAGAATATAGTCCTTTATATTATGAATTCCCTCAGATCCGAATCATTAATAAATCTACTCCATGCTGCCCACTCAGTGGAAGAAGACAACCATCCCAGATAGCAGGAGTGTATTGTTCTTCAGTCAAGGGTGTATGATACCTGTGCTCCCCTGCTAGAACCTCCAAACAAGCTCAAGGTCCAAAATCTCTTTCAATAAGTTGCCTATGAATTAGCATCCTCTAAATATTTATATTTAATTGCTCTGTTGTAGTAAATAGCTGTTCTGGTTTTAAATTAGAAAGTGACCACATTCACCTGCAACTGTGAAGTCAGAATTCTGTAGAAATCTAGCTAGCCAGGTTTAGGGATGAAGCAGGATGTGGCAGCATACTGGTCCATGTTGGCCAGCTGTTCCTGCTACAAGTGGGGGAGCTAGGCAAACTGTACAGCTGAGCTTTGCTTGCTTTTACATCTGAATCCAGCTGTCTAGTTTCTTTCCTCCCCAACAAGTGAGAGAAATGACTCATACTTTATTCTGGTTTTATTTTTTTCATTGAGACAAACTAGATTACTGGATTTGAATGTCACAATAAACAAACTGGGGTCTGTGGGGGGGGGGGAAGGCTTGTGATTTATTCAGCTGATTCTGAATGCGGCAGAGGTATTAAGGAGCATGTATCAGTACCAGTGAAACTGCTGCATGGAAATAC